TTGGAAGAGATTTTGTCAACCAAAAAGCTCTTCTGATAATATGAATACGCTAATTTAATATTAGTCGAGTTACGTCATTTTCTAGGCTTTTCTATTTTAAAGTAGTTTCTAGGCTTTTCTATACGCGGTTTTTATTTTTATTTTATTTACTAACAACGCGTATTACGGGTTGCTTACTGCTAGTGAAAAATTAATTGAATATGCTTCAAATTTGGATTTGAATGTGTTGGTTTATAAACTGTATAAAAAACAAGCTGGAGGAGAAAAGGTTTATATTCACTCATCGTGTCGAACTAAGTTAAAAAACCAATCAAAATCAATTAAAAGATCACAAGCACTGATGGAAACTTCTATAGAAACAAAACGTTAAACTTGATCAGAACAAGTTTTTTGTATTTTAAAGAACAATGTTTTTATTGTGGAAATATGTGCACACTTGACAGTAGCCATCCTGAGAGAAATAATTTGATAGAAGTAAGAACAAAGTCAACAAAAATTTATTATGCAACTCTAGAATTATGCAAAGAACGTAACAAATTTTTATCAAATACAAATTGAAAATTTAGCAAATATATAATAATAATAAAAATAATAGTACTTATAACAACAATAACATGCAATTTAATTGAAGCAAGCATATAAGTAATAAAAATAATGATAGTTACAATGAAATTAATAATGAATTTTTCAGTACAGATTTGATAAAGTTAATTGTCTAACACTTATATATATACACTTGTATATTATATTTTTCTAGACTGCAGAATCATGAAAGATTTGAAAAATACGGTTTTTAGCAATGAACATGTTGGAACAATCCAGAATATTCCAGGACAATCAAATATGAGTAGTATTCCAGGACAATCAAATATGAGTAGTTTTGAAAAATGCTGCCATATTGATACATGCCATGTTGCTATGCTTGATGTTGATGTAAAATATTGTTAAACATTTTTTATTGAAGTTTGTTTTTAGTTGCTTGTTTTTTATATTGTTTTTGATTGGTTGCATTTTTTATTGAAATTTGTTTTTGATTGTTGATATTTTACATTGATTTATTTACTTTTGAATATAAACAATCTTTTAGCCGTTGAAGTACGATATCACATTTATGGCCGTGCAAAGTTTGAAAGACCTATTAATACATCAAGCTTTTTAAGACCTACTTCCACAGAAAGCTTACTCTCTTTGATGCAGCATGCATAAAACTCGAGACAGATATTATTCTTTAAACAGGTTCTATGTGATTTATCTTTGAGTTACAATGCGCTAGTTAGGCTGCCTATATGAATCGTCGAGTTAATAATGTCCTACCTATATCTAAATTAACTATGCTTCCAATTATATACTTACCGGCAACTGATTTCAATGCGTTATATTCTTTGTTAAATTTTATTGTAATACAACCAGAAAAACTACAATACCTGTGTGATGTTTGATCAACAGTTTTATGTCAAAGTCTATGAAATTGCGGTTTCAAAAAAACGTTTTTATTAGAATTGGTGGATTACATCAGCTAATGAGTTTCTTGGAGCTATTGGAACATTGATGAAAGGAAGTAGATTGAAAACTGCTCCTGAAACTGTTTATGCTTCATTAACAGTCAACCATATGTTTTCTGGAAAGAAAATTGCTCGAAGGCTTAAAAGGTCATATGTTTTCTGCATTGGCTATCTTATTCATATTATACTGGAGAAAATTTAGGTTTAAGAAAAAGCTGAAATTAAATTAATGTACAACTCAAATATGCATAATAAAAATAGTGATACTGAAAAGAATAAAAAATTTATGCTAAACCTACTTAGTCGTAAATGCTGCTAATAAAATAGACATTTATAGCAAAAACTAAATACGACAAATATACACTATATTTCTTCCATTAATATTTTTTAGTAAGGTGCACAGAAATGACAGAAGCAGTAAACTCATTAACCTCGTCAAGAAACACAAGTAAGAAACGCAAAGAACTTTGCGCAGGAAGGATCAAGCGTGACTCTGAAGATTTTCAGAAATTTAAATCATGGCTTGATTCTAATAGCCCATTACATGTAAGAGAACATCTTGAGGCTCTGGACTCAGGGCTTGTAGATAAATTTAATCAGGCGACTTGTGACTGTTCGAAAAGCATCGGTACAGGCACAACTGAATGATATAACATACACAGAAGTATCCTTTAAAAGAATTAATCAACTCAAAAATTAATCTAATCAAATATTAAAGTCAACGATGAAAATATATCAGTTGATCGCTGACAACATACTACAATCATTAAAATCGCACTTAACTTTTCTAAAACAGAACCTGTCACAACCTTTGCAGATGACAGCGATATTCTTTGCGTCTTATTATTTTTACCACGATAATAAATTGCCTTATGAAATTGGAAATGCATCAACTCGTATCTTTCAGCTGCTACATTTCTCAACATAAAATCTACAAGAAATACCAAAGCAAAAGTACGAGAAAATGGTAAACTCTGATTGGGCTTACATAGACTCTTCTGCTCATCCACCTTTTCCTAGAGCAGCTTACTACCATGGATTGAGAATATACCATCAAGTGCGTATTTGGAGATGTCTAAGTGACGGTGAGCTTGACCCACTTAATTGGGGATGGAAAATAAAAGACTTTATGATCTCACCAATAGCAACAGACAAAAAAGCAGGTCCAGAGGATATCCTAAAGGTTGTTAGATGTGGGTGTAAAAACATATTTAAGAAGAAAATGAACGAGCCGATGACCGTCATTTTTTAGATATTTTTACATAAATTAAAGTTTGATTCACTTAGTTACTTTTTCAAGAGTTTCCAAGATAAACTTCTTTGTAAATACTTTTAAGATTATTTTGATAACTTTGCCGAATAATCACGTTAACAGTATTAATTAATAATAGAGGAATATTTGTTTTATACACACATCTTTGTGTCAAATTTTCGAAAAATTTGCTAAAATAGAGCCCCCTCCGCCCTTATATCATGCTTTTAGTTATTATTTAGCTTTCAGTTCATTATTAAACTAACTATTAATATTTAGGAGTAATGAATATAAAAATTATATTACATTTACTTGCTTAATAGAATGATATTTTTCGGCCAAAAACGTCAATTTTTGTGCTTTTTTACTAACCTTTGTGGTGTCACAACTTTTTTCCCCCAATATTAAAAAAATATACCAATTACTCATTTTAAAGAGGAAAAAATAAGCTTTCCAACGATATATAACATGTATTTATAATAATTTTTTCTAGGTTGAGTCTAAATTCTACAGGACTAATGCAAGATGCTCTGCATTTAATTTGACTATCGATTTGCACTGCAACTTTTGCAACTCAAAAGAGATCTGCATGATCAGAAAAGTATAAGAGGTTCTTAAACTTTATACAGAGATCTACTGATGACAAGCAACAGGTTTCCAAATGAAATAAAACAACTTTGATGTTTTAACATCTAAATTTTACACTTACCGTTAAACAAAAGTTAGTCGTTGTTCCCAATTATAATTATATCTTAAACAATATTAGTTTCTAAATGAAATAACAATATAAAATTAATATAAAAACAATAAATGACTAATGTCACTATTTCTACATCCCCTTCCATGTTTTTAAGTGTCAATGAATATAAACATAATTTCTGGGTTCATTTCTTAAAGTCATCTAATGTCAAAGATTTCCCGGTTTCTGGTTGGTAGAATTTCTTGGGGATACATAGCCTGGATGAACGTTTCAATGGTTGATCTCCTACGACTTCAGTATTTAATAAGGGTGGCATTGCTAGATGCGGCGAGCTTGTTGATAAAGATGCTGGCATCAACGGTAAGGGTACTGGAGTTGTTGGTAGAGGTAATGGTGGTACTGCTGGTGCTAATGTAGGAGGCGGTAGCAATACTGTAGATGGTGCTAGTTCCGGTTGGGATGGTATGACTTTGTTGCTACTTTCTGGGACATACTCTGTAAATGGTGTTGGCGAATCGGCAGAGTTATAGTGAATAGAGCTTGTTTTTGGTGGTGTGGTCAATGCAACTTTGGTTTCGTATGACTTTAGTTGGTTGAGGAATTTGCGCAAATATTTTCTATTTCTCAATGTTAGTCGACCTGTTCCTTCAACCTTAATGATGTATTGGTCATTTTCCTTACATTCAACAACTTTTCCACTACAACCCCATTTTTTAGGGTGGTTCCCTACTTGATTTTGTATGAAGATACTGTCTCTTTTATGTAGTGGTGTGAGAAAACGTGTGTGTTCTTGAAGTGATTCAAGGGTCTTTGCATATCTTGTTCGTAATGCTTCTTCTTTTGCAGACCATGCATGTCTCCACGTTTTCAAGAATTGGTCGTTATTAAACATAGGTTTTCTGGATTTTATCCTGGGCATGGCGTCGCGAATGGGATGGCCAAATAATACTTGAGTGGGGGATAACTGACAAGTAGGGTCTAGTGTGTTTATTATTGTAAGCATTGCCCTTACAAAAGCGTTATTATTGAGATCCCCATTTGGTCCCACATTATTTTCGAGGAGGCGTTTTGTTGACTTAACTGCAAGCTCAGCTCTTCCATTAGATTGTGGGTGGTGGGCTGATGAAATGCGATGAGTTATGCCCCATTGTTGTAGAAACTCTTTTGTTTCTCCAGAGGTGAATTGAGGACCACCGTCGGTTGAAATTTCTTCTGGGACTCCAAATGTTGTAAATAGTTTACGTAAGCACGTGATAAGACCTTTTGCACTCATTTCTGATGTTCCTGGTTTTATTCTGTAGCCTTCGGTCCATCCAGAAAGTCTATCTCCAAAGACCAGATAATCCCAGCCACGGAATTCAAAATAGTCAGCAAATATGCATTCAAATGGTGTCACAGGGATGTGAGGTCGGATGGGTGGTAGTCGTGCATTAGAAGGTGCATTTCAATTACAGCCGCAACAGTTATCGCGCTTACTTTGTATGCTGTGAGTGATACCTGGCCAGAAAACAGAGGCTTGAGCTCTGGCTGTCATTCCCGATACTCCTTAGTGGGCTGAGTGTAGTACGTCCAATATCTCTTTCCGTAGAGTAGGTGGGATTACAATTCTGTCGTTGTATATTATAACCCCGTCGAACACCATCAAATCATTGCGGTATTCCCAGAACGGTAAAAAATTTGGTATGAAGTTATTCTTATTTTTTGGGAAACCGTTTTCTATTGCTAACATTAATACTTTAAAATCGGTATCCTTTTCTGTCTCTGCTTTGACACTATCCCATGTTACTGCAATCATTTTATCTATGTCGTTTTGTATCGAGGCTATTATTAGTGATTCTGTGTTGTCAAAATCGGTATTTTGATTGCAAGTGGCTGAATTATCAGATTCCTTTGTGTTCTCTGTAGGATAACGAGAAGTAGCATCTGCTGCCAGGTTTGTTTTTCCTGGTTGATGTTGGATGGTAAATTTCCATGGCAAAGTTCTTTGTTTTAGTCGGAAAAGTCGTGTGTTGGCGATTTTATCTAAGGTCCTATCTCCTAATAATTTGACAAGTGGTTTATGATCAGTTACTACCATAAGGTTATCACAACCTTGTATGAAATATTTCGTCTGCTCCAGGCTCCATGCCACTCCTAGCATTTCGCCCTCAACTGGTGCATATCGTTGTTCAGCAGATGACAGGAATCTGGACCCTGCTAGGGTTATTTTCCATCCGTCTATACAGCAATCTGGGGAGTCCAATTTACATTCACAATGTTTTTGACTTTGGTAATATCCTATCCCCAATTTTGACCAGCTACATCTTAAACAGGTCTTTTTGGTAATGTCAAATATTTGGACTCCATCTTTAATTGCGTTGATGGTTTTTTCCTTTGACACGTGGAATAAAGTGTTAAGTTCGTCCGACCAATAAAATTTTGATTTAGGGCTAAGAAGAACTCTGAATGGGGCCATAGTTTCTCGAAGTTAAGCGTAATGTGATACTTGGGTCACTAAGCCGAACCAAGATCGGATGTCTGTTATTGAGGATGGTGTTGGAAATGATCTAATGGCGTCAATATATTTAGGTAGTAGTTCAACTCCATTTTCAAATATTCTGAAACCTGCAAAATCCACTAATCTTTTAGCAAATTGGAATTTTTGTGGGTTCAAAATGATCCCAGCTTTACCGACAAGCTCAGGAAATTCGACTAGCCTAGTCGAATTTCCTGAGCTTCCTAACCTAGTCCGCCACCAATGTTGGACTAGGTTGTCATCGTAGTGGATGGTGTCATCTACACATCTTTGTTTGGCAATAAGTCTGCTAAAATTTCGTTGAAACGCCTGTTGTAGCCATCCCCACTAGATACAAAACCTTGAGGAGCTCGGATGTATCTGTAGTGGTAAGATTTCTGTCTTCAACCCGTATCTGGATGCTATGATAACCACTCCATGTGTCGGTTACAGTTTTCCATGAACTTCTTGGGACTGAACGAGCTAGTTGGAAAGGCGATTTCATTGCATGAGTTTCTCTGTAGCAGTACTTGTTTAAAGGAGATAGATCAACACTGCGACGAGGCCCACCGTCATGCTTACGTGTGATAACCATTCTATGACACCATGTTGTAGGTTCTCCTAGAGGTACCTTTTCAATAACTCAAAGAGTTTCATCACGAATTAAATCCTTTTCCACCTGGTCTTGCCAATGGATTGGTATGGTGGCTGGAGTAAATGCTGCAACTGGTTTGGCATTTTCTTGAATTAAAATACTTATTGGAGGTCCCTCCATATCAGGTAAAATCTAGTGTGAACATGTGTTGAATGTTGAAGCAGAGTATCTCTCAAGGAGCCAAGCTTTCATCCGTTCGTTGTTTTCAGGACAGCAGACAAATGGAAGTTTGGTGGGTGCACCTGCTGGGAGACTTCTTTTGGGGCAATTGCTCACATGTGAACTATTATTTTCACTGGATATTTTGGTCCCTATAGTTTGGGGGCCTGGGTTTATAGCTCCATGGAGGGCACTGCCTATCTCTGGAAAGTCCTTAGAGATGATACCCAGTTGGGTCATTACTTCTTTAGATAGGTAGAATCCGTTTGCGTCTGGACTTACGTAAACCATTACTGCACATTCAACTTTGTGGCCATTAGATTGTCGTCCTTCGAGACGTAAAAGAAATGTACCATCTATACAAAATTGGGTTTTATTTGCGGCCGACATGCTATGTTTCATAGGTATTAAATTGTTTGCATTAAAGCCTGCACTGTCAAACCCTTTCCTAGACCATAAGCAGGACTGTGCACCGGTATCTGTAATAACTTGTATATATTTTGGTATAATGGGAGGAAATGGAATACCAAATGCGACATAGTCTGATTTGTTAGTAGTCACACGCAGCTGAATTGTAGGATGAACAAGCAATTGAGTTGTGGTCCATCCATCATGGGTAAATATGTGATGGTTTATTCCTGTGCAGGGTTGTTTCACATTGGTCTTCATTTGTGATCTAATTTTTTTATTTGAATGCTCAATTGCACTTAACTTAACACAAGTCCGCCTGCCTCAGTATCTTTGGTTGCATTCGATTTCTTATCATTTGGGACGATTCTGTTGTTAATTTTAGAAGTGCGAGGTCTGAGCTTCTTCCAACAGTCTAGACACAGCTTGTGGGGTTTTTTGTTCCATCCTCTGGATGTTTCTGTAAATAAACTGTAAGATTCTGAGCAATCTGGACATTTGGCTGTTATATTGGTCCCTTTACTACTTTGTGTATTGCTCTTGGTTTGTTTCCTGAAAGTTTCCTGACACTTGCTGATGTTGAACTACAGCCTAGTGCATTTCGTGCCATTTCCTTACCCTCTATAAAAGCAATGATATCTGTGACTGAGGCTGTGTCAAGGGAGACCCATTCAAGTACATCATTGCGGATGTCAGTGTCTGATAGCCTGGAAGTTTTTATTTTTGAAATACCAGTGTTTCTTTAAAATTCCATAGAATGCATAAGAAACTAACATAAACAAAAGTTAGTCGTTGTTCTCAATTATAATTATATCTTAAACAATGTTAGTTTCTAAATGAAATAACAATAAGTGTAAACAACAACAATATAAAACAATATAAAATTAATATAAAAACAAGAAATGACTAATGTCACTATTTCTTCAACCGTATAGAGCACGGCACATTACAAGTCCCACGGCACAAGTACAAGTTGTCACCCAAGTTTACCTAATAGGGTTTAAATGTTAGAAAAAGAAAGAAGTTTTGAGTGCAACCTGCCCGATCTTAAAAGTGTAAAATTTCGTGCATATTTTTATATTTACTTATCAATGTTTTAGATTGCTTTTTAAGGTTTTAAATAATTAAAAAAAGAATCGTAATGTAAAGTCTTATTGAAGTTAAAATTAAAGTTTTTAAGATTTTTTTTATTAAGTCATTAAGTCTAAATTATAAAGAGATTTAAAGTTCCGAGCTGTAAAAGTTATCGGCATGGCTTCATTTCTTTGAATTCTGCAGTATTTGAATTCAAGTTTAAACGTGCCAATACAGAATGTATCATAAGCATTCAAATTTTATAAAGAAAAAACAGAAGCAGCAAAAAAACATTGATGAGTCTATTATGATCACTGTTGCCGATGATAGTCATTATTATTTTTCGTGATGATAATGACTATATCATCGAATAATTATAATGATCATCATCGTATGAATAATGATTATCATCAATTATTATTTTTTTATCACTTAGGTTCCTGGTTTGGAATCTTTAAATCAAATATATATTATAATTTAATATAAGTTCATATTATTGACTTATTCAACTTAAATATGATTTGCATTAAAGTTGCATAAAATTTAAGTTAATAAAATATTATGCAATGAAATTGGATAAAATTTAAGTTAATAATATTATTTTATATTATAATATCTATTTGTTTTAAAAATTGCAAAATCAGAACCAACAATCAAAGTTTCTTATAATTAAATCTCTGGATTTAATATCAAGTTTTTAAAGATAAAAAATCAAGTTTTTATAAAATAATGGCTTTGTGCTTTTGGCATTAAACCTGACACTACATTTTTTGCAATATTTCTTGAACCTCAAAGAATATTGCAAAAAATTTGTTGGTATTGTTGATTATCAAATAATCAACAATACCAACAAAGCTTTATCAAATAATCAACAATATTCTCTGTTAATAACTATCTGGCAGTTCAATAAAGTGTCTTTAGCGGAAAAAGAGTATTGTTATTGAAAGAAATTTTTAAAGTTATCAACAAGTTATTCAAGAAAAATAATAATAATAATGATAATAACAATAAGTGAAAGCTGTAACAACTGAGAATCAGATGTGAATTACACTAACATAAGACATTGTACTATGAAAGCTAATAGTAGTTTTTGAAGAATTATTCTTTCTTTATAAAATCACTTTGTCAAACTATTCCATGGATTACTTACTTTGTTGGAGAAGAAGTTAAATCTACACATGTTTTTGCAAAAGGATTTATTCAAAATGTATTTGTACTGATGTAGGCTGAAGATAAATGTAAATGTTAATAAAGTTTAGATAAAGAATTAAAAATACAATAATTACTAAAGTTAGTTTGAAGTCTGGATAGTTAACAAGCTGGATCATTGAGGCCATAGTTAACCACTATTACTTGGGGCTAACTATGATTGGGTACTGACTCTAATCAATTAAAATATTTCATTACTAAAAAAAAATATTTACAAACTATTTTTACTTTGCTAACTTGTTTAACAAAAAATGGCTGTACCCTTATCATAAGAGTTTCATAGAGCTAGATCTATTAGATATTATGTTATTGTAGATATTATTTATTGTAGATATATTATAACATCATCATCCATAACAAAACTGTTTAGTGTTTTTTTTTTATCATGGTTGATTATATTGTATGCATAGACCCAATGTTAAAAAATGTTTTGATTTAAAGAATATGAGGCGTGATTGTACATGTACTGTACAGGACACAATCTGTTATATTTATAATTTAAGTATTAACAAAAATTCGGTACAAGATATCACTTCTAATGCCTAATGTTTTTGGTTTCTATACTTTACATTCATAATCTAATTGTCATTGTTTTCTGTTTTTATTGTACTATATGATCACCAGACCTATCAAAAACCAGTTAATTTTACTTTTTTGTGTCTTGTATTTTAGCTATGCCTTGTGTTTTTTTCATTTTTCACTTGTCGAATTTGAAATTTTTGTTGTTATTTTTATCTTAATTAAAAGATTAGATGTTTGGGTTTTGGCTTTTAATGATTTTTTTTACATGTTAAAAAATGAAATAAAGAATAAAATAAAGTATTTGTCAATAATTCGATTTCATTTGTACATAGGGTGACCAATGTCCTGGTTTTTACGCGGGAGAGCGCAGGGCTATGTAAAAACCAGGACAATGGTCAACAGGTCACATCAGTTATAAAAGTTATTTGAAATATACATATTAACAAAATATTGGAGTTAGTTCCATGCTGATAAAAAAATCTATTTTATGCAATATTCCCTAAAAGTGCTACCAAATCAAATATTCTACTTCTTTGTTAGAAAATAATGTATTAATATTACCGTGATAAGTGCACATTTATCAAGTGACCACATCTCTAAGTACTATGCTTAGTCTATTTATATACACAGTGTCCTTGTTCTCACAACTTTTACACACAATTTAGAATCATAATTTGAATGATGGGTATTACAATGATTATAAAAAAATTAATAAAAAGAATAGCCTCCCTGAGTTCAGTAAGCCTCAGGGATTTTTTGGATTTCTTTAAAATTATTTTGTAAAAGAATTTATATTTTTTGTTCCTTAGAAATCAACTAAAAAAGTAGTTCTTATTTTAAAAGCAGTATGGGTAATACTTCCGCAACCCCAGAAATTACTTCAGCTGTTGGTTCTACTGCATTATCACCTCCATCAGGATGTCCAATGCATGAGACGAATGTTCAGTCTTCTGCATGTCCTATGAATAATTCTAATAGTGAAGCAGACAAAATTAATCCTTTGAATATGGTAACAGCTATTATCGAAATTTTTAAAAATAAAATCATTTTGTTATTTTTAAAATTATTTAAAAATTTTAAATAAAATTATTTTGTTTATTTACTATTGACTCTTTGTTCTATATTATCATTTTAAAAATCTTTTTTTAGGCTAAGTGTTGTTGATTAAAATATTTGAAAATCTGTTTATTATAATTATTTACATAGTTAAGTAATAATTAAGTATTTCTTAAGGAACAGTTATAAATTATATAAGTAAAAAATATTCAAATATTACTTTTTTTTGCAATTTTCTTTACTGAATCTTAGTTCAACATTATCAAAACTGTTTTTTGAGTGCATTTTATGAATGTATTTAAACAAGTTAAAAACATTTTTGTTTCAAAAGAGTTTTGATTAAACTTTCAGAGCAGAAGTAGAAATCTCTAAAACTCCTTTATAACCACTTTATTAAAGTCATCCTCAAAGACATACACTCTTTATCATTTCCAGTTACCTCTGAGAACCCTATTTTATTTCTTATCTATATTGAATCATATATGTATGTGTGTGTTGGCTTTGATGCTCATCATTCTGAATCATAAGACTTACTTCTTGAATCACTGACCCTGTTGGCTCTAAAGTGCAAAGTTTTTGTCTTTCTCATTCTCTTATTCAGGTGGTTAACTTTGTGATTCATTTACCAGACCTTAATTACTTTCACTCCTTGATTTGTGTCCTGACCCTTGTCTGTGCTCAGTTTCTGTTTTTTTATTAGGTCTATTAGGCTCAATTTTTGCTGCTCTATTAAGCGTTTCAGACCTATGATCTTTTTTAAACTTTTTCTACATATGATTTTTCATCATATTTCTTACTACTACCTTAGGGTGATTATTTTTGTGATTTCTTTGTGGTCGAAACTGGTTTCTTTTGTCTCTGCAAAATTTTTAAAATCTTTTTTATCAAATATTTTTTATTTTTGAAATATTAATTAACTTAAAAAAAAGATAAAATTTCACAATAATTTGTCTTCAAAAAATGTCTTTATTAAAATTAATGCAAAAATGTCTGGTGCTAAGGACTATTATTTTCAGATTACTAAGTTTAAAAATTAAGATAAGATTTAGTTGGTGATAATTAAGAGAAGATTTATTTGGTGATAGCTATAAATATATTTTTTGTTTAGCTTTATGTAGCCATTCAAATTTAATAGATTATTATTTACAAATTATTTATAATTATATTAGTTGTAGGATTGTTTTATGAAGAATTAAGAGGGAGGTTGAAATGAGAATAATGTTATTTGATTTTGATTTATTAGTTATAAGTTTGTTTTGTGTTGGTGTCATAAAAATAAGTATTGTAAGCAAAAGTATTAACACAATTCCAACAGCTTCTTTTTTTTTCTTTTCTTCCAACAGATTCTTTCTGACAATTCTAAATCTGAAGTGGCTCTATTTGTTGGGACTCTTTACATCTTTATAACTTTATGCTCCTGCCATGACAAAAAAACAAAAAATTTTTTTTAGTTGCTTAGAACAGGCAGTGGAACTTGAATCCGATCTCTCTTCTGTTATAGCTTGAGATTTGAATTAGCTTTTGAATTTTAATTCCAACAAAACTCATTTATTTACTGCAAACAACTGTTCACAATATTGTCAACATTTCTTTATTAATGGCAACCTCACTGATTCCTCTTTACATCTTCATAAATTGTTGTTTACTACTGACTTTTTATGGAAACCATATATGCTATCAATTGCAAAGTTAGAGTCTGCTATAGTTGCTTCTCTTCTGTTGTTTGCCATTATCTTATTTCTGATTCCATTCTCTACCTCTACAAATCTCCTATTTGTCCTTGTCCTATATGGAATTCTGTTTTAAATGGCCCATAAATGCATTGTAAACATCGCTGGACCTGCTTTATCCGCCAAGTTTGAGCCCCTTTGCTGTTGTCATAAAGTTGCATCTCTTTCCCTGCATAAAGGAGCTATCAGTTTTAATTGCATGAACAAAAACTCTTTTTTAATTCATCATTCAGCGAAGTCACATCCTTTTACTGTATCTGTCCCTGCATATTCTCAAAACTTTTACTTGTTCTGTTTTTTTCTCTGCATTTTAATTTTTAGGAACTCTTTTCACAAGTTTTTTATATATTAGATTTTATATAAAAAGGCTCAGGGATAAATTAAAATTGATTATGTTTTCGTTTTTCAAGTTTTAGTTTTTCAAGTTTTACTCTGTAAAATATCAGAAAAAGAATCGTCAGTTGTTTATCTTATTTTTATTTATTAAAGCATCTTAAAGTGTTCTAAAAAAGTTGTTTAAAACAACAAATTTTAATAGAGATTAAAAATTTATTTGAAAATATTAGATTGCTAATTTAATTATTAATTAGTACTTGAATGACTTGATACTTTTAAAGTTGTTTTTTTTTAAATATATATACAAATTTAAACAAACAAGGTTTTATTACTATTTATTAAAAGAAATTTAATTTAAGTTTTAAAAAAGCATGTATCTATTATTTTCACTTTGATTCCTATTTTAGGTACTAAGTTAAGTTTGAGGCCCTATTTTAAGTACTAAGTTAAAAACACAACAATAAAAATATTGTGTATTAATAGGTATATTTTATCTTTTAAAAATTTTGTAATTAAAAATATTAAATTTTAGTAGCTTTTTAAAAAATACTAAAATTTCTTTAGTTCTTTATTGTTGTTTTTTACAGTTTTAAATAAAATTTTAAATTACAGAGTCATTTGAACTTAGGAATTTTATTTTAAAAAAAGCTTCAATTATGAACTTTTTTACCTTAATGACGCTCACAAAAACTTAATGAATAAACTGTAACAAAAAAAAATAGCACAAATTATATTTTGATTGTGTAAACTGCTTTAAATGAGTGTGGAGGCGGGCGCAGGTGATCACCCGCCAATCCTGCCAAGGCCTATATATATATATATATATATATATATATATATATATATATATATATATATATATATATATATATATATATATATATATATATATATATATATATATATATATATATAAATATATATATATATATATATATATATATATATATATATATATATATATATATATATATATATATATATATATATATATATATATATATATATATATATATATATATAGCAGTATAAGATTCCTGAAGCGACTACAAAGCAACTTTGACATACAGTATCTTCATAATGGCTTTAGGAAATTTCCTAAGATTTGGTACTCTAATAGATTTTAACTTGAGGAATCCAAAAATAGCACTCTTAAGACTCGATTATCTCAAGAAATGCCTCATTTATCCAATTTTGTTCAAAATTATTGACTTGTAAGTTAGTGATTTTTGGAGGTAAAATAAAGACTGTGGCCCAAAATCCCGAGTAAAAATTTTAATTCTATATCATTATTTCATCTTAGGTCTACTGAAAAAAATTAGATTCATCAATTGTCTCTCTAATACATGATCAAAATTTGCATTTAAAAATGGTGTCTTTTTAGAAAAATTTAAATTTTGTAACAAAAGCAATTATAATATTTTTTTAAACATTTATTTGAATAAAACACTAAATAGTGTTATTTATTGACTAGTTTAAATTTAAATAAACATTTAAAGTCATGGGCCAAGGGAGATGCCCTCCCTACCCACGGGAGGCCCCTCCGCCCCCTCCCCCTCCCCAAATCTCCCTAGATTTTTTTTTTTTTTTTACATTAAAAAAAAAAACTATTTTAAAACTATTTTACATAAAATGAATAAATAATAGTTGATTGTTAAAATACATTTTAAAAACATATTTTTTCAGTTTAAGTTTAAGAAACGATTTATTTGCGTTACTTCAAATCGATAAATACTTACCTCTTATTTCAAAGATCTTTTTACGATTTTGAGTCATAAATTTCAAAAACAAATGTTTTAAAATGTTTTTAAAACATATTGACAATAAATATCTTTATGTAGTTTTAGACTAATATAGTCATTGACATAAGATAAGAGTGATTTGTGATTTATTTAAACCCCCACCCCTCCTTCTCAGCCTACAATCCAAGGATTTGAAAAAAATAAAAGACACTTAAAATGCAAATTAGGTAAATAAAATAAAAACAAAATTATTTTAAACATAATTAATTTTTTTTTTGTAACCAACAGTTTATATTCTCCAAATCTAAATCAGATATGTTGTATGTACGACCTGATATTGTTGTGGGTGTAGAAATTAGGCATATAACTTCAGAATTGAGCACCCAACACTCATCAGTTCTTATTGGCCAAAAGAAGTTTTTACCTGGTCCATGTGGATGCATGAATCTTTTATATCAAGCTCACTTACATCTTCAGCAATCTCTACCCACCAAAATCCATCATAAAAACATGCAATATAATCCATTTTTTTAATATTTAATGAAATATCTACATAATGTTTGCTTTTTGGAATGATATCAAATATTTCAGTGCATGCATCAATACTTATTTTTTTATAACTTATAGTGTTTGGAGCAATTGGTATAAAATGATGATACATCCTTGTGCCAGGAACTGTTCTTCCACCTAAATATCTTTTTTCTAATTGTGCTCGTGTTTGATCAATTTCTTTTTTTGAAAATAACTTAAAATAAATTCCATTTATCTTGGCTTTACAAAAGGAGTACATTAAATTAACATCTAAAATCTGCCCAGTAGTTATTTGTTTTAGACTTTCTTGGCATACTACTCTTTTAACAGTCCCACCAATACCATCACAGGGGGATTTACCATGACTGATAGCAAAAAATACCCATTCAGCATTTAAATCATAGTCTTTACTGTGATGACAAAGATTGATAAAATTTTTAAAATTTTTAAATTGTGCTGCACAACCATCAGAAAAGTATTTCACATTTGATACATCAGGTAGATTTTCTTTGATATATCTAGTTATATCTTCCTGAGTCTTGTAAATAAATCCTGTGTCATGATCAACATCTTCTGAAAGGTAACAAAAAGATTTATGTTTGAGAAGTTTGTCCTCTATAAAATAAAGTACAACTGTATAAAGTGAGCATTGACTTTTGCTCCAGTGAAAACTTTGAACCTCATCCTGAACAACATATTGATAGTTTTCAGCAAAATCTCCTAAAATTAAGCATTCGTTTTGGTTAAGATTTTCTTTACAGTTTTTTAAGTATCTACTTTGTGTTTTTGCAATATATGAATGAGTGGTAAGGTTGTCAATACTGTCACATAATAAATCAATAAATTCATCTAGTGGCAATGACTGTAAAAGTAGTGTTATACGATCTGTACTCTGCCATTGCTTAAATACTACATCTTCATGCTCATGGTTCATAAACTCCTGCACTAAAAAACTTTTTAACGCTTCAATACCAGGACATTGGATACATCGATGCAACATACATTCTGCATTTTCAAGAGAGCAAACAATCAATGCCATGAAATCTTTATAACTTTTATTCCACCTAATGGCATCAATGAGAAATTTTGTATTTTAGTGATGTATGCAAACACATACATTGTGGGTACCTGACGCATTAGTTGTAATACACCATTTAGGTTTAAGAGTACAAAACTTTGACAAACTGACTTTGACGTTAGGGTAGTCTTTTTTAAATGTAACATGTAATTCATTAAGATTGAGTAGCAATAATCTTTTTTGAACATGTTGGTTTTTCTTAATACTTACATAATCTTTTTTTCCTGGCATCATTCTTGAAAATTCATCACTTTGATAAAAGTTTATCACTAAATTAACTGTTTCTGGTGAAAGTGGGTTTCCAGTTTTTTTCCTGGGTAATGATAGAATTCCATTCTCATTTTTAACTTTTCTTGCTGTTCGAGCAAGATACTCAGACACTTCAAAGTAGCTTGATATCTTTTTACGTGTCCATGATTTTGGTGCAAGTGTTAACATTTGCACCTTATGGCAATAAGAGTCAGTCTCTGAAATTTTATTTTTTATTTCATACATTAAAATGTCTAGATCATTAAACAACAACATTGTTAATGTTGTTGTTTAAAATGGGGCTTTTTATTTCTGTTGTTAAAAAAGTTTCTTTAATATTATATGCTAATGAGACCATTTTTGCAACTCTGTCAATAGTGTTCTCAAACTTTTGTTTTGCCACAGGCAATTTGCTGTGTTTTGAAAGACTTTTTAGTTTGACCGGTGAGATTCCAAGCAATTCTATAGTGGTATCTAACTTAATTTTTTTCTCACTTTTTGATTCCCATTCCTCCTGTGAATTTAAATCTTCATCAGTTTCTATTGCTTTTTTGTAACATTTACTGCAGAATTTCCAACCTGGGGTTACATAAACATTATTTTTTTGCAAATAGTTTGCCATGTCTATGGAAATCTTTATATTACCTAAAAATCAAATTTAGTTTTACGTTGTTTAAATAACTGAAATTATAAAACTTTTTATAAATAATAAATTGTTCTCTTTTAATTTCCATATCAATTCTGTTGTAAATAAGGTAAGATTACCTTTTATAGCAATTTTTTTACTTTCCTTGTGTGTTCCAAAAGGATTGCAACACTTTGTAATTTTTCTCTCAAAATATTTTCCATAGAATTGCTCATGATAACAACATATAATTCTTATTGAACTATATTTTTCCTTTAAGTTTGCTTGCCATATTATTTCTTCTTGTTTTTCACAAGGAAGATCTTTAAATTGAACAAAACCTTGTTTTCTTGAAAATCCAGTTTTGTGGCAATGAATGTTAAGACTTTTTCCAATGTCACATTTCTCCATATTAATTATTTTTATTATTTATTACCTAACAAAATAATATAAAAACTATAAAATTAAAAGTAATTCTTTAAGAAAATACAAACAAGTAAATACCTTTAAAAAGAACAAAACAAAACTTATGTTTGTTTTTTATATAAAAGGAAGTCACCAATTTGAAATAATGAAATTTTTTTTTTCAAAATTAAAATTAAATTGTATGTTTTTGCATTATTTATTCATTTTATGCAAAAAAAAAAAAAAAAAAAAAATCTAGGGAGATTGGGGGAGGGGGCGTAGGGGCCTCCCGTGGGAGTGGAGGGTATCTCCCTTGGCCCATGACTATAAATGTCCTAAACTATTCAATAAATGACACTATTTGATGTTTTATTCAAATAAATGTTTTAAAAAATATTTTAATTGCTTTTGTTACAAAAATTAAATTTTTCTAAAAAGACACCATTTTTAAATGCAAATTTTGATCACGTATTAGAGAGACAATTGATAAATCTAATTTTTTTCAGTAGACCTAAGATGAAATAATGATATAGGATTAAAATTTTTACTCGGGATTTTGGGCCACAGTCTTTATTTTACCTCCAAAAATCACTAATTTACTTTAGCACTCTTAAGACTCGATTATCTCAAGAAATGAGGCATTTCTTGAGATAATCGAGTGCCTATGAGATAATCGAGTGCCTAAAAATAGCACTCTTAAGACTCGATTATCTCAAGAAATGCCTCATTTCTTGAGATAATCGAGTCTTAAGAGTGCTATTTTTGGATTCCTCAAGTTAAAATCTATTAGAGTACCAAATTTTAGGAAATTTCCCCAAGCCATTATGAAGATACTATATGTCAAAGTTACTTTGTAGTCGCTTCAGAAAATCACTAAAATGCTGAGTCAGCATTATTTCAAGTGACAATATCTATGGAACCCATTGGTATTTTTAACTAAAATTTTTGCAGTTATTATTTTTTTGATATGGACTGCAAGTGGTGTTAAAATAAACAAATTCTGAGACATAAGGGTGTCATGGTCTGGATGATTTCATATATTTTTTCCCTATATATATATATATATATATATATATATATATATATATATATATATATATATATATATATATATATATATATATATATAGAGAGAGAGAGAGAGAGAGAGAGAGAGAGAGAGAGAGAGAGAGAGAGAGAGAAAAAGAGAGAAAGAGAGAGAGAGAGAAAGAGAGAGAGAAAATGGTTCTAGAAAAAATATGACTTTAAAAGTAAGAAACAAGTTTTAAGGTTTTAAAGTAGTCTATTCTTACTATTTCTTACCGTCAAAGCTATAACTTCTAAACTGTTGCACTTGGAAGTCTGAAATTTTGAAAACACAAAGTTTTTCTTAAATTAGTTAAAATTTTATGAACTGACTCTTAACTGGATACAAATGTTATGAACAAAATAGTTAAATCCCACTGAATTTGAAATAGAAAACTATAAACATACGCTGTAATCTTTCAAAAAAAAGAAAAAAAAGAGAAGAATAATGAAAGAAAAAATTGCTGTCCCATGCCAAACTTTTAGTTGATGTAGCAACATTCCTTTGGAGCAGCTGGAGTGTTGTTACATCGACTACACCTTATATTGCTGACCTGACAGTGTCTGAGGTAATTGAGGCAATTTTTTGCCAAAATCAGAGTTTTAAAACTTAATTTTGTTTGTTTTTTTAATTAAATTGAAAATGGCATAACAAATACTTTCTTCAGATTTTAAATAGATAAATTAGAATAAAAAAAGAAAAAACAAAATTTTTTTTTTCAATGTTATCCACTCCCCAAGACTTTAAGGTCAATACAGGAGAAGATTTTTGTGGTTACAACCTTTGCTGACTGCTTTTTGTGGTTCTTCTAACATCTTTCTAATTTCTAACTTCTAATTGTTTTTCTAACTTCTGTAATTCTAACTTCTAACTGTAATTCTAACTTCTGTCTTTCTAACTTCTAACTGTCTTTCTGACTTCTAACTATTTAACTTCTGTCTTTCTAACTTCTAACTGTCTTTCTGATTTCTAACTTTTTAACTTTTGTCTTTCTAACTTCTGTGTTAACTTTCTGTCTGTAACTTTGTTCTAACTTCTGTTCTACCTTTTGTTCTAACTTTGGTTTTATATTTTGTTCTAACTTTTGTTCTAATTTTTGTTTTAACTTTATTGTTATTAACTTTATTAAATACTTTTGTTCTTCTAACTGCTTTTTGTGGTTACAACCTAAACACTAAACACTTCTAAACACTTTAACTTCAAAACACCAAACTCGACAAAAAAGGCTGCTGTGCAGAGAAACAAGTTGAGCATGGTACTGCTAGGGACATGGTAGGGATTGAAATCAGAACTTCTCACTTAGGAACCAAGCACTCTACAATAGTGATCAACCAAATCAGAAAAAGCCAAAACCGAAATAAATTGAAATTTCGGGTACTTTAGTTTAATGTCGAAACCAACATTTCGGTAAATATATACCAAAACCAATACCCACATTTTGGCTTGTCAAAATTAATTTTGTTAGAAAATTTTATTTAAAAAAGCAATTTTACATTTGTTGTTGTTTTATACTTATATAATGTTAGAATTGATTGTTTCACAAATTAAAATTTAATACATAAGTTGTTGATATAAGTTTATAGTGAAAGTTAGCAGTTGACAGATTTTCTCTGCAAAACAAGCCTTTTTGGAGGTATTTTGTGAAAGTTCTCAAAAATTTTGTGTTATCTCATTATTTTTTAAAAATTCTCAAAAATAACTATTTTTCTAAATTAGATTAAAATTTAAAGTCTTACACATTTTTTAATTTTCAGTATGTATTCTAACCAAAGTTCTGCTTTTTACTGAATTTATAAAAAGTACCAAAACCGAAATTTCGGTATCAGTTCAAATTGAATTTTCGGCCAAAATCGAAAACAAAATTTCGGTTGATTACTACTCTACAGTTACTGCAAACAACTAAAATAAAAACAAAAAAAAAATATTTTAATGAAATTCTTCATGCAATAATTAAGATAAAAGCGAAAAAATGAACCTTTTAATTAAGTTCTAGATACAATAATAAAAATAAAATTGAAAAAACAAAGGTTTTAATTAAAATCTAAATAAAATAATACAAAAAACAAACTAACAAAAAAAACTAATGCTTTATTTTAATTTTTAATAGGATAATTAAAAAAACAAAAACAAAAAAAAAGACAAAACAAGGTTTTTATATAAATTCTTAAATAGAAGCTTTTTAGTTGAATTGTAAACATATCATTTAAAATAAAAGAAGCAAAATTAACAATTTATTAATTCTAAATAAATAAATTAAAATAAAATTGGCAAAACTAACGATTTATTTAATTTCCTTATAAAGTGGTAAAATACTGCATTTATTTTATAAATTTTTAAACAACTATCCACTTTTGAAATAGTCAATAAACTTGGTCATTGTTTTTCTGTCAACTTTATGCCAAATGATTGCACAAACATTGATTTGTCAAAACCTATTTCTGAATTTTATGCCAACCTAATGCCGACCAAAAACAGTTTTAGGTCAGCTATTTTTTACAAACCTTAGTTGTATTAAAAAATATATATATATTTTAATACAACATATGTATGTGCAAATTACTATTTTTTAATAAAAAATTGTAATTTTCACATACATATCACACCAGCGTGGCAGAGTAGTTAGCTCACAGAGTTTCTGAATCAAAATGCTGTGGTTTGAATCCTACCACTGGTTACTTTGAAGGCAAATGCTTGGACTATTAAATAGTATACCGAGTATTATCTGTGCTTTGAGTCAAGTTCTTTAACCAATTTAAAAATGGCTAAAGTACCAAAAACTATAAAACACAAATAACCATTGTCATCACCAAGTCTTCTAAATCTATTATTCACTAATATTTATGGTCTTCAAAGTAGCTTTTCTTCTGTTAAGTCGTATTTTTTGCAAAGTTCACCACACCTACTTGCTCTTTGTAAGACTAATTTGAGTTCAGCTGTCTCATCTTGTAATCTTTATGTTGATGGTTATCTTTTTTTTAATTCGTAGACTAACTAAAACTTAGACTCCAATTTGTAAGGCTTTTACCTTTCTTGTTCTCTAACACAAATAGTCAACTCGCTTTTCAGACAATACAAATCATTTACCTTTTCTACTTGACTTATGTCTTGTTTCTGATCCTAGTCAGTACTCAGTTTCTCCCTTAGGTGGTTCTGATCACGGTTTGATCTCTCAGTTACTTTACTACTTTTTAGACAAACTGGAGCTCTAAAACTTTCAGCATTTGTGTAGTCCTAATAAATATGTGTTAAAATTTTTTCCAGGACAGATGACTAGAGTATCAATTAGGCTGGGGCACTGAAGGGTCATGCCCCACTTATCTCTAAAATTTTTTTTTTTGCATTTTTACATAAAGTAAAGATAACTTTGCAAATATTGTCTTCAAAAATTTATTTTTTGGTTTATATTTGTTCCATTCGGTTTTTGATCATTCTCTATTCAATGATCTTTCTTAAAATGTTTCAAGAAAGTACATATGTTTATAAGATTTTTGATTTGCAAGTATATGGATTAGAAACAGTCATCCATCTAAAATAATGCTTAAAGATGATTTTGACATTGATGCAAAGTGGGCAATTTTTGCTACAAGTGGTAAGTATGGTAAGTAACCATGTACACATGGTGGCACTGTAAAACATGCAAGTTAAAAATTGCAAGTTAAAAACTGCAAGTGCAAGCCCCATAAAAAAAATTATATTATTAAAATCTAATATAAATTTAATTTAATAATTAATATAATTTAAACATGTGAATAATAAAAGTTAAATTCAATTTAAAATTCAATTACTTTAATACAGATGCCTCCAGCTAATCAACAGCCATCTCCTGGTCAACCATTCCAGTTGAGCACACATAGAGAAGTATCTTCAATACCAAAAGGTGGTGTTGAAAACCCAGAAAAATGGGTTTATCCATCTCAACAAATGTTCTGGAATGCTATGCTTAGAAAAGGTATGTCATTCAGATAGGTATTGTTACTATTATTAGTGAAAGATCAATGAGACCTGTGAATGATTAATGAGTGAACCTTTCAAATGTGTTTGTGACCTGTGAGTGAACTAAGTAGTGTAACCAGTATGTTAATTTAGATATACACTATGTATATAAGGTTTACTATAGTAAAAATCTGCAGATTTTATAGGCAATACCAATATATTCTGCTGACTTAAATTGTATTTTAAGTGTGCTAATTTTTTTCTGACAAAAAAATAATAATGAAAAAAATATATAATTAATGTTGTTGGCTTATAGGCTCTTGTGGGTTGTACTTTCATATACTAGCTATTTTATTATATGTGCGTAATGGTAACAATGCTGCAATTTCTGTTTCATCTAATTTCATACAGTTCTAAAAACTCAAATGTAAAATCCAATTTCTTTAGAGCTCTTGTTATTAAAACACAAAGCTGAAACTTTTTTATGAACAAAAAGCCAAACAAAGCAAAAGGTTCGCATTTGTTTACTGTGAAAGTTTTTGAAGGCCAAAGGTTCGCATTTGTTTATTGTTAAAGTTTTTGAAGGCCAAAGGTCCGCATTTGTTTACTGTGAAAATTTTTGAAGGCCAAAGGTTTGCATTTGTTTACTGCGAAAGTTTTTGAAGGCCAAAGGTTCGCAATTGTTTACTGTGAAAGTTTTTAAACAAAGCTAATATATTTTATTTTTTTCCCTAAAAATTGATACTTTCAGAAAGTATCAATTTTATATATAAATATAAATATAATGATTATGTTGTTTTATTTAATGAATTATTTTTGATAAAGACTTAACAACCAAACAAAAAACAACAACAATGAAATAACATTTTTAACAAAATTTTTTGCAATGCATACAATTATCGCATATTTTGTCTGCTTTTAAAGGTGTTAATCATTTATTTCATTGGTTCTCATGCCTGAAGAACTTATGATAATAAATGATTACCACTGAAAAAATTTTTCAATTTCATTTTTTATTGTTTTTATTATAATCTAGTTAAGTTTAATTTTATTTTTTAGCATTTGTTTAAAAATATAAATTTAGTACTAAATTATATTAGTATATATTAGTAATAGACTATTAAATTATTATAATAAATATCAAAATTGCTTTAATTTTGTTCAATTTTATTACTTTAGTTTGATCTTCAATTATAAATTCAAAATAAATCTTCAATTAGTTTAAATTAGTTGAAACATTTTTAATTTAATTTAAATTACAATTACTTCTTTCACTTAACTAAGTGGAGGTTCCAAATCTATTTAAACAATATAGTTTTAAAAAATGTGATTTTAAAACTCATTTTAAATTAAAAAGGAAATGTAATTTTGAAAGGTTTTTAAAAACATTATAGTTGCACTTTAAAACATTTTAAATTGCATGCGTGTCTAATTTAATTCAAGTTTGGCTTCTTTTTATTATGTTCAGTAAAATTGTAGCAAAGTGTATACAGGGGTGCGCAGAGGGTGGGGGATCCAGGTCAGTTTTCACCGGGCATCACATTTATGGGGCATATTAAACTGACAAATAAAAATTATCAGTATCTTGATCTTAGTGAAGACAAGTTTATTGATGAGTTCCACCATTTTTTGTCTGTTCAACACCAGCTACTGACTAATGATCAGCCCTTAGGTCTTCTGAATAGCAATTATGCAAAGAAATTTGAAGGAAATTTTCCCCAGATATCTGTCTTTATATCTTTCTTACTTTGCTAGTATCTGTCACTGAAGGCCAGAGAACTTTTATCAAGTTAGCTCTCGTCAAGAACACTCTAGGAACTACTATGGGACAGAATTGTCTTGGCGACTGTCTTATCCTTTAATCGAAACAGATCTTGCAAAGAAAGTTAATTACGATGTTGTAACTTCCAATTTTGCTAGAAAAGTTTGTGAAGTCTTGTTAAAAGTCAGAAAATATTTATACCAAATCCAGAAATGTTTTTTTCCTTGGTTTCGCATAATTGTTTGATTTGTGAACTTGAATACAGAATTTTTAAATTATTTTGTGAACTAGAACTAGAAAATTAAGAAATTAAGAAAAATTATTATTAAGAGCTTTATTTTTCTTATTTTTATTTTGGTGGTGGTTAGAGGGGGGGGCATCCAGTAAATTTTTTTATAAAATACCCCGGGCATCATAAAGTCTCTGTGCGCCCCTGATTGTATAACTACTTTTTATGCTTTTTAAAAGTTTTTTTAAGATATTAAGAAATCAATGACAAGAATGAAATCTGTATAGTTCAAAGTATGGTTCTATTTTTAACCACTTTTTTGTAAGTAATAACAATCTGGACACTAGCTACAATAAAAAAACCTTCAATTCCATTTATTGTTTTTAATTAAGTAATCATTTTTAATTAAGATTCTATCCTCAATTATTTGTCTGTATATAAGTATCTGTTCTTTGTTGTTTTTTATTTAAAAGAATCTATTTTTCATTCTTACGAAAATGTTAAACCTTTATTAATGATTTTTGTAGGATGGCGATGGGAAAAAGATGATTTATCCCCAGAAGATATGGCAAATATCATTCGTATGCATAATGCTAATAATGAAAGAGCATGGCAAGAAGTTTTAAAATGGGAATCATTTAATGGGTTATTATAATTTTGTTGCTAGTTTGTTTATGGAATATGTTATTGTTTTTTTAAATGTAATACATAAGTTTGTGGAGGCTTTGTTTTTTAAACAAGTTTTGAAATATTTTTCTTGCATAAATTAACAATAAATTAATATACGAAAATTCTTTATAAAAATGAAATTTTGAAAAAATATTAAGTATATAATAAATATAAACCTGAAAAAGTATTAAAATAGTAATCTGTTTAATTTAAAATAATTTTTTTGACTTTATTTAACATTAAGATTGTTTAAAAAAATGTTATTTAAGAAATTTTGTTATAATTTTACAATTACAAAAAAATTACCAGTTTTAATTAAAAAGTATATACAAGTTGAAAATTAAATCTGTTAGGTTTTTCCTCCTAACCCTATGTCTTATACTGAATATTTTGTAATAATACAATAAATAAATTAGCAGTCAGGACTTGTGGAAAAATGAATGAGTCATGGTAGGTCAATGCTTGTAGTATACAATGTTTTTAGTGTATATATATATATATATATATATATATATATATATATATATATATATATATATATATATATATATATAAATATATATTTATTAATATATATATATATATATATATACATATATATATATATATATATATATATATATATATATATATATATATATATATATATATATATATATATATATATATATATATATATATATACATATATATATTAGGGTGTCCCATGATTATCACTAATAAAATTTTTTGTTGATAATTTTGATGCAGTCCCTCTTAAAAGTTTCTTAATGGTCCCACAACAACAACTAAATTTTTTTATGACAATTGTAAAATATTTAGGGGTCCCCCATAGGTCTAGAATTTTTGTATAAATGGGAAATAAATTGACCAAAGTAACTTTTTTTCTAAAATCCACCCCCGCCTTTTATTCAATTAAAACTAATTTGGCACTGTTAAAATAGCTATATATGTAAAACAAAATACTAGTAAAGATTATATTCTACAAGTGACAAGTGTTTTAACCAGAAATTTAACAAAAATTATTAAAAACAGATTTTTTAGATATCTTATATATTTACTTTTTACAAGTTTTTTACTTTTATTGTAGAATAAAGACTGTGGAGCAATGGCAAAGTGTAAACCTAACACAACTTGAAGTACCGACATGATCTGTTCGATTGGCCATCCATGTGACATAATAACTGGAGCTCGCCTTCCTTTAGGTCGTGATGTTATGCAGAATTTTGTTTACTTCCAGAGGAAGCAGAAACTGACAGTTGCTCAGAGTGCACAGCAAGTACACGACCAACTACTGCCCTTCTGGATGAAATCGAAATTACCGGTCCAACACTTTTTTTTCGATCGAGATTACCGGTCCAACACTTTTATTTTTCGATCGAGATTACCGGTCCAACACTTTTTTGTTCAAAAGATTAAAGATCTTTACTCGCAGCATGTTGGACTAATGAAACATCGTTCAAGGAATAATACTAAGGATCAACAGAACCAAAAAGAATACAATGAAAAGCTGAATGTTTTGTTTGATATTAGTCATGCTGATTCTGACAATCTTATCAAGAATGAGGAAGACGGACAGTTCTAAAGTTGCAGCAAGAATCTAGAACCGGATGCATTGGATCTGTGGACAATAAAATATTTTTTCGCGATAAGCATTCAGCAAAACGTAAAGAACGATTAGTACTCCAGCAAAGAGCAGCTTCAGCAGGACAGCAATTAATGCAGGCAGATGTGGAAACTGAAGATAATCAACAATGATAATTGCATCAATGGTTTATGAAATTGGATGCTCCACGACATCTGTTGTTCTTTCAAAAAGTACAGTCCATTGTCAATGACAGCTTTTTTGTTGTGAAACTGCACAGAACATCAAGGATGACTTTCTACCTAGTAAGTCCGTCGTTTATTGGGATGGCAAACTACTACCTGACATCACTACCTGAGTTGTTACCTGAGTTGGTCTACCGTCAGCCTATGCCACGACCAGTTCCATTGGTGAGTGCAAGTGACAATCTGAAGGAGTTAATTGCTGAGCAGCTTTAACTCAGCCATCCACGAGATGACTATCAAGAATTTCTCCAACTCCCGGCTTATATGAGTGGTTTAAAATGCGCTGGGGCATCACCAGTTTGCAAGTCACAGAGTGGTGCCGTTCACAGAGCACGTTGGATGGCCAAGGCGATTTATGCAATGAAGATAGAATTGCTTTTTGATGGTAATGAAGCTGTTATACAGTTGACTGCTCGTGAATTACAAGGCATTCAGAGATTTAATAGATGTCAATGTTGTCAATGTCTACATTCAATCTTGGTTTTCAAGTTGAGCCATTGCTGATGCACCATTGAATGACATTCTATTGATTCAAAGGCTGCTTACGTATGAAGATGCTGCTTTGCAGACAAAAGGTTTGAAGATGATGAAGCGTCACTCCTGGTACCTCAACCAAGAGCTAGCAACAGTTTCCTTGTTCTCTCAGCATATGTCTTCTAAAGAAAAAATCCAGCTTGCTTGCTTGACAATAAAAGCTTGTGTTGACAATAAAAAGTGATTGAGGATTGCATCAAGTCTCTTCCAAAAACAACAGTGGAATTACTCATTTCTCGAAGTTTCTTCCTAGTTACTGCCATTGATGATACCTTTCTCGATATTCCAGTTGAAGAGTGGCACGAAAACCATTCCTATTAGATGGCACTCAACTTATAATAACTTGCCATGTGTTAATGATTGTGCTGAGCAGGGCGTTGCTCTTATCCAAAATTTTAATGCAGCAATAACAAAGAATGAAGAACAGAAACAATTTCTACTTCAGGTTGTTGAAAAACAAAGACAAGACTTTTCCAAATTCAATCATGTCAATCTTGAGGACATTTAGATTTTAGAAGTTATTTATCATATTTTAGAATGAACAATTAAAACCTTGTTGCCATTTTGTATAATAAGTTATTGTCTTTAATTGCGTTCAAACGAGCATAAAAAAGTTACGTTTTCTATTGCTAAGTGTTAAAACATTTAAAGTTAAAATTGGCTTTGCTTGTGCTTGAAATCATATAAAGATGTACTATAAACCAATTTTAATCTAAACTCTACTAGGAACTAATCATTTTTACTATATTTTTATGATCGATTAGACATGTGATCTGTATTCTGTAAACTCGATGATGTAGAGCTGTCAAATGCCATTAACGAAAATTCTGCAACATCGCTAAAACTTTATAACCCTTGGGGGACCTCTAAATATTTTTCAAATGTAATAAAAAAAATTATTGGTTGTTAAGAGACTGCAAAGAAACTTTTAATAGGGACTGCATCATAAAATTCAAAAAAAAAATTTTTTGGGACACCTTAATATATATATATATATATATATATATATATATATATATATATATATATATATATATATATATATATATATATATATATATATATATATATATATATATATATATATATATGTATATATATATGTATATATATATATATATGTATATATATATATATAATATATATATATATATACATACATATATATTAATAAATATATATATTTATATATATATATATGTGTATATATATATATATATATATTAATAAATATATATATTTATATATATATATATGTATATATATATATATATATATATATATATATATATATATATATATATATATATATGTATATATATATATGTATGTATATATATATATATATATATATATATATATATATATATATATATATATATATGTATATATATATATATATATATATATATATATATATATATATATATATATATATATATATATATATATATATATATGTTAATTAATATTGCATAATAATATATATGTTAATTTATTAATATATATTAATACTTTTAGTAATTTGTACAAATGATGTTTTTTCCTTACTTTTATAGCTTGATATTTAATGAGTATTTTTTAATTGAAATAAAAATTATCTTTTTGTTAATATTGATTCTGTTTATTGCTGTTCTGCTTTCTGCTTTATCTGTTGTTTTTTTATATGCTTGAGCGCTTAATCTCATAATTTAAAATGCATCTGACATATTTAAGTTTCAAAAATGCTTTTCCCTGTTAGCAATGATGCTGTATTTTCTTTAAGCAATGTAATGATGATGAACTAAGATATTAACAGCTGACCTGCTAACAGCTTAGCTCATATTTGCATAAACTTAAATGATATAAATCATGAAACTTAGCCTAAATGAAATAAGTTAGAAACTTAACTTAAAACTGAGCTTAGCTCTTCAAAAGAAATTTTTCAATTTTTCAAATTCAAAAAAGCTTAGATCATCAAAAGAAAAACATTTTAAGCGAATTAGTTTTAAAATTAGAATAAAATTTTTAACTTATTTGATTTTGATTTGATTTTTCTCAAATGGAAAATTTGCATCATCATCATTTGAAGCATATTTAATACTTAAAATGTTTCAAAAAAGACTCTGAATTACCAAATAAATATTAAAGGTGCTATAATAATGTTTATATGCTATAATATGTTTATATGAAGTTTATACTTGAATTGAAGCACTTGAATTTGTGATACAAGCATGGTATCCATACCCTAAGAATGATATGATAAATACACTTGAAAAAATTCGATGTTATTTTATCAAATAAGTAGCCCAAATTTAAAAACTTGATAATGAAACAAGAATTAAAATACTTAGATAAGTGTACTGGAAAAAAAGTGCTAAAGAGATGACTTAATACATAAAAAATTAAAAAAACTAGATATCAACATTTTTACCTCATATCAGCTTAATGCATACTTTCAAAGGAAATTTGTAAAAAACTTTATCATACATAAGATGGTATGACAATTATCATACAGTCTATGTTTTTAAAATGTGTGATTTCTTAACAAATAGAATATTGTCTATGTGGAATAAACTACCTGATTTTATCATTAAAAGTGAAAGCTTAAACCTAATTAAAAATCATAATGATAAATATTTATAGCTATATTATAATAATTATACTATATTTCTATTATATTATAAAATATAATAAATCATATTTTATATATTAAATATTTTGATAAATGGTTTTATCTATTTACTTTTTAATTAAAAAAAATAATTTTATTTCTAGAGAATGTAATGAACCAAAGCTTTTAAAATTTGGAGGAAAAGCTAAAGAATACTCTCCTAGGGCACGAATTAGAGCTTTACTTGGGTAAATTTATTTTCTTTTTCAATCTGTTGTTATTGTTGTAATTAAATTTTGTTTTTTTAAAACGGTACTAAAACACGTTTTTTTTTTTCAATCTGTTGTTATTGTTGTAATTAAATTTTGTTTTTTTAAAATGGTGCTAAAACATTAGTAGACATTCCCATAATATTACTGAATATTCCCTAGAGAAAAATTCAAAATATTATTTAGTGTAACTAGTTTTATCCAAATATATCCAGGCTAATTTTTTTATATATTATAACCACAACAATAAGGTGTCTAAATATAAAAATTTGGCTGCTCGCGTCTTCCCGTTTCATTTCATTAAATTTTTTTCAGACGAAGTGTATTCTATTACAAAATTGGAGTTATTTGAAAAATGGCAAAAACATGCAAAGGAAGAACGCAATTTTCTCTTGTGTGACTTTATTTTGAAAGACTATACTACAGAAGATGTTACTAGTGATTTGAAGAAAAAAAAAAACAGTTAAAAATGGCAAGAATATCTGCTAAATTTGCGCTAAAGTGGAATGCAGCCAAAAAAAAACAACTTTTATTTTTAAATAAAAATAAAAGTTGGTTAGAATTTATCACTCCTGTGCTTCTACCACATCTGAAAAAAGTCGGCCTCAAGGTTGGCCAAAGAAAAACTTTGAAGACTCATCTTCAAAAACCAAAAGACATAGAGTTGAAGACTTATTGAAATCGCGGAGTGCCAATGAATTAACAACAGCTGCTGAAATAGCACATCGTTTGTTGGGTCAAAGAAACATAGCTAATTCTTTTGGAAAAAGTACAGAAACCTTAGAGTGAAGAAAATCTACAGATGTTATTTGTGGTATCAGACAGTTGAGTAGCGATGAAGCACTTGCTTATTATGTAGATTCTAAGTGTACTAGCCACTCTTATAAACAAACAAGAAAGTGGTCAACGAAAGCAGGGCATGAAGTGTTTCTGTCTTACTTTAATATATGTTAATCCAAAAGATGTGTTACCCCCCAGAAGAATTTATATCTATCTCAGAAACACGAGCTGAAATTAAACTTTAATCCATATTGAACAAAACAACTGAATGTTTAATTGAAACACTAAGTCAATTTTCCAAAAATGCATCTTCTAATTTGTCGCTTACATTAATAAGCAAATGGGGATGTGACAGAAGTTCTGGCCACAATACCTACAAACAAAGATTTGAGAACTCTGATGCTAATGATGATTTTCTGTTAGTGTTTGCATTTGTCCCGTTGAGATTGAGTTATGACTTTAATACTATTATTTGGCAAAATCCTCGGCCATCATCAACACTTTATTGCCGACCAATTAAATTCATATTTTCAAAAGAAAACACAGGAATTTAATGTAATAGAAACTGACAGAGTTTTAAAAGAAATATCTAAACTTCTTCCAACACTGTAATGTTGGTGAATTTAAATTTATTGTGAAACACAATCTGTTACTTACAATGACAGACGAAAAAGTATGCAATACTTTAACTAATATGCGCTCTAGACAAAAATGTTATATTTGTGGTGCTACAAAAATGATGAATGGTGAATTAAAAGTCACGTATTTCTACAAATATGGATTTGCTATATATGCTCTTAATAACATCTGACCCTGTTATCAATTCACTTAGAGAACTGCCTGCAAAAAGAAGCAAAAAATTACCAGTAGAGATTTTGAATTTGATTGTTCCGGCTCCAAGAATAGTAAATTGTAACTTGTCCGATGAGTCAAATAATGAGTCATCTGACGATTTAAGTGATAAGTGTTTGGTGGATATAAACGACGAGTTTTTTGGTAACTAAATATAAAATTTATTGTATAATATTATGCATCCTTGTTTCATAAATATAATTTTTCTTTTTAACTTCATTTTTTTATTATAACAGTGGTTGTTGCAATGAGGGGATGGGGGAGGGGGGGTTTGTAGGCGTGGGTTTTTTCCTCTATCCTGCACAAAAAAAACTTTAAAGTTATTAAAACCAAGGTAATTCAATAAAAGTAATTCAATAAAACAACAAAATACTGTTTATTACAACCTTTCCTGACTAGAACAATGGAATTCATAAACAAAATATTTTTGTCCAGCTAGATTGGATATAACGATTCACTGTGCCATGTTGCAAAATTTTAAAACAATGGAATGTATATAAGACTTGCTTTTTTGAAAGTTAAAGCGTTTTTAAATATCCATTCAGCGTAAGGTTAATTTTTGTTTTTGGCAATTAAGAGTAAACTGCTTTTGATAATAAATAAACAAAAGTAAAAAATATCTGTCCTTTAAACTATTGTGCGAGTTTAATTTTTAGATGAATGAACTTTAGCTTGCTATTTTAGTTTACGTGAGGAAAATGAAAAAACGAAGTATAAACTTTTTCAGACAGTTTTTTTTCCTTTCAATATTCTTTTTAAAATAATAAAAGAAAAGGTTTCAATAACTTAATAAAAGTTTTATTTAGATCTGTTTAATACAACTCCTAGTAAATGAAATTTATTTATTCAAACGTAATTTTTTAAATTATTCTTAATAATAAAATAAATAAATTTTTTAAATTATATGTTTTTAAAAATATAATATGGTTTTTAATCAAAATAATAGAATATTTTTAAAATTATGTTTACTGTAATTATCTCTTTAATTATCTTTAATTCAAAAGGCGCCTTAAAATTACTTAAAAATTTTAACCTTTAGTAAAAGTTAAATAAACAGATTTTCTAATATTTAAATCAAAATTTTAATTTTAAAATAATAGAAAATAAGTTTATTAAATGCATGTTTTTATTCGAATAGTTTATTAAATCCGTTTATTAAATGCTTATCGAATTTGTTTATTAAATGCTTATGTTTTTAATTCAAATACAAGATGTAAAACTATTTTGTTAATTTTACAAATATTATGCGATATAGTATATGTAAATATATTATGTAATGTAAATATTGATTAAAATTGTTTAAAATATTTTTAATTATTATTTTAAGTTAAATTTACTAATATATGGTTAAACGCTGTTTAAAATACTTTAAACAATTTTTTACTGATAATGTGATATATGCAAAAAATGCATTTATTAAAATCTTAAGTAAAATAGTTTTCTTTTAGCTAAAGTAACATTGTCCATCAGTAAATTCATGTATTCAAAAAATACCTTTAAATCAACACCTTATTATAGGATAAAACTAAACAAGATAAACATAAATGATTATTAAGAAAATGATGATGCCAAAAAAAAAAACGGTATCTGCAAATAAACTCTAGGTTCTTCAAAGGTAGTAATATTTTACAATCAATGCGATTTAGAAGTAGTTTAAAAGTAGTTTAGAAGTAGTTTAGAAGTAGTGTAGAATTATAGAATTAGTATAGAAGAAGTTTAAAAGTAGTTTAAAAGTATTTTAAAAGTAGTTTAGAAGTAGTTTAGCTATGAGCAGGGTATCTAAGGAGATCCTACTACAGTAGATTTCAGACTGATAGAGCAGGCTGTGAAAAAAACTGCATGAGAGGAAAATGCATTACATTGAAGTACAATTCTTTTAGATAATAACTTATGTCTAAGCAAGTTCTTTAAAATTTCTTTTAAAATCATGTGATTTTTAATGCTACAATGTAAATTTCTGAAATCAATATGAATGACATTTGATAATTTGGTTGATAAAATTTACTTTATGTTTGTTCCAAAAATCATTTAAATTAAAAAAAAAAAGTTTTTAAGAAAAATATTCTTAATCCTTCTATCCAATATCCTGAAGGAAGAAGCCTAGTACATTACTTAAGAAAGGAGCCTAGTACATTACTTAAGGAAGGAGTCCAGTACATTACTTAAGCAGCAAACACACAAAGGCAGAATAAAAAGTTAAAAATCTATTGAATTCTAATTCTTATAAGTTCTCTTGGAAATATTGGGTTTTATAATTAATATATCATATATTGGATAAGTTGCATAATTGTTTTTAAATTTAGGCAATAAAATTCCTACAAACTAATAAAATGCCAAACCCTTGGCCAATAAAACAAAATTTTCAATATTGCCTAATATTTGCTCTAAATAGAACAAATTCTTAATTTTCAAACTTTTGTTTTGTTTAAGGTGATTCAACAAAACTTGTTTGCTTGTTTAAGGAGATTCAATAACCATTTCTTTGGGAGAAGTTAATGTTCTTGAACCATTACGATCTTCTATTTTCTAAAAAACATTTAGATGCTTTTTTCCATTTGCCTTTTTTAAATGGATGTTGTCACTTTTTTACTAAGTGTATGTTCCTCTTAATATTTTTATTTTACCAAATTTACTTTTAAAGAATTATTTTCATTAATATCAAAATTATCTCAAATTTAACTTGTTTTGTTCAAAGTTAAATTATTATTTATTATGTTATTTTTATTTTTGTTGTAAAGTTATTTTGTTGTTTTTACTTTGTTGTTTTGATGTTTTTATTTTTGTTGTAAAGTTGTTTTCTTTGCGTCAAAAAGTAAATGTTATATCATGCTTTGAAGATTTAACTTTGAAATAAAAAATTTATTTTCAAATCAATCAGGTTTAAAGTTTATTATCATAACCCTTACTCTAATATTAAAATGTTAATCGCATCCATCTTTAAAATAATGTTAATCGCATCCATCTTTAAAAAAAGCAACTGAATTAAAGTATATACTTTTTAATGTCATTCAAATTAGATTTTGTTAAATGTCATTTTCATTAAATGTATTTATTTCATTAAAATTATATTTATTTGTAATTATTTTATTTTCATTAAATGTATTTATATTTCCTTTAATTATGATAGTGGTTATAGGTTAAGAAACTGCCCTATATACAAAGACAATGAATGGTTGTTGGTAATGTAATGCCAAAATAACATTATGTGCTGTTAAATTTTAGAGAATTGAATACTTTAACGCTAAGTTATTTATAGTTTTTTTGAAATCTCTGGAAAGTTCTGCTCCGGAAATACTTTAACGCTAAGTTATTTCTAATTTTGTTGAAATCTCCGGAAAGTTAATGCCATTCAATGCTGATTTTCTATACCTAAAAAAAATGCGTATATATATTAGGGTGCATCAAACGCCCCATACTTTCAAAAATTGATCTGTCCCTATTCTTAAAACTTTCTATTGGTACTCACAAGACACTCTGTTAAATTTTTTCAAAATTGAATGAGATTTAGGGGGGCCACCTGAAATCTGAAACTTGTGACAAGACCCTAAACAGAAGAAAAAAAAGTTTTTCAAATGTATGTCATGTTGGGTCTTAAAAGAAGCGAAATTTTATAAAAAAATTTCAAAAACAATAAAAGTTTTGCATAATATTTATTATTATAAGTTTTATTGCATAAAAATTATTTTTTAGCAAAAAATTCAAAAAAGCTATTTTTTCATGGTTTTTAGTCAAAAATTTTTTTCAAGGTATTTTTAACAAAAAATCATAACTATTTTTGTAATTTTTATAAAGTTTCGCTTCTTTTGAGACCCAACAATGACATACATTTGAAAAACTTTTTTTCCTTCTGTTTAGGGTCTCGTTGCAAGTTTCAGAGTTAATGTGGTCCCCCTAAATCTTTTAAATTTCAAAAAAATTTAACAGAGTGTCTCGTGAGAACCAACAGATGGTTTTAAGAATAGGGACAGATCAAATTTTGAAAGTATGAAGCGTTTGATGCACTCTAATATATATATATATATATATATATATATATATATATATATATATATATATATATATATATATATATATATATATATATATATATATATATATATATATATATATATATATATATATATATATATATATATATAGATATATATAGATATAGATATAGATATAGATATAGATATAGATATAGATATGTATGTATGTATGTATGTATGTATGTATTATCTTGTATAAGCCTGTAATATTTAAATTATTTGTTATTTAAAAATCATCAACAACAAAATTATGTTGGGTTATAATCATCAGCTTGTTAAATATTACAATATTTTTTATTCGTTACAGTTTATATAATGTTGTTACTAATGGCTTCTCTTAAAGCTTTTTTTTTATTGTTTTCTAGTGTAATAAACATTTTATGAAATTTTCTTTTATAAAACTCAGTAGCAAAAAAAAAAAATAATAATAATAGTTAAAATCAGTAATAGAAAGTCACTTATTTATTATTCAGAAGAGAGTCATTTATTTATTATTTATACAGGTTATTAAAACAGAGAGTTATAAAACAAAAGTTATAGATTAATGTATATAGTTATAGATTAAGTTATATATGTATAATAAGTTATACAGAGAGTTATAAAACCAAAAATAATAATAGTTTTATTATTGCTGTAATATATCAGTGCAATAATAATGAAAGATATAATTGGTATTCATTTGATATATACTCAAATTAAAACTTATAATTTGGTTTCTATTGAGAAACCAAATTAAGTTGTTAATAAAAGGAAGTTGTTAATAGAAGGGTATTAAGTTAAAAATTTTTGTTATATCTGGTATTCGTGTGTTCCGGTGAGTAATACATTGATGTTTTATGGAAAGCTTGCCATATTTCACAGTGTTGAAAAAGAAAGAGTGCAAATTACTATTTTCAGTATTTCGAGTGGAATATTTAAGTGTAAACACAAAAGACAGTTATAAAGCTTTACAAAATCTTGCAATTTTAGAATTTTGAATTTAGATGATCTATTTTGGATATGTGATTATATAGGAGAAAATGTCATAATTTTTACGAATTTAGATTGTAAACTGTTTATATAATTTAATAGGAACCTTTCTTTTTGCCTCAAGCAATGCAAAATTAGGTCAAATGGTGGGAGGAGAACAAGGAGTAGTAATTTGATATCAAAGTATGTTGGGAACATAGTATCACATTAAAATTTTTGGTTTGTGAGAGTTTTTTATTTAATTGAATTATTTGAGTGCCATGATAGGTTGAGAAATACGCCAAGGTATTTTATATATTTAGATGAAAAAATAAAACAATAAATTTACTACTACAAAAATAATAACAATCAAAACTTACATATATTTAATTATTGTTTTTTTAAACACCAGATAGTTTAAGGATTATAAATAAAATAAAAAGTTTTATTAAATAAAAAAGATTAAAAAAATAAGAAATTAAAAAAAAAAAGATTAAAAAAATGCAGCAATTTAAAAATCAAACAATAAAAAATTAGGCTAAAGCTATTTGTGCATTGTATGAAACATTAATATCAATTTTTGTTTAGGGGAAAGCTTAAGTAATTATTTATAAATTTAAATGTTTTACATTTTATTAATTGGTTATAAAAATAATAATAATAAAGATGTTTTGTTTTGTTTTAAAATAACTATAAAAAGTTTCAATTAGTTTTTATATATTTTTAAATATCTAAATATCATTAATTTTGTATAAATTTGTAGTTATGTATCTGCAAGATTTTGTAAAAAGATAAATAAGATTTAAATAAGATATGAAATTTTGTATTTTGTAATCATTTATTTTTATTATTGATTTTTATTTAAAATATTTGATCAACACTAAATTCCTTTAAATTGTTGTGATTAGCGGTTGTTTTTTAACAATTATATTGTTCTTTATTGTGCTTTATTGTTCTAGTTTTATCTGATGAGTTATAAAATAAGTTGAAATCACAATCTAAACAGTAAAATATTTTACATTTTATATTTTAAATATTTTACATATTTACAATATTTTACATTTTATATCCTATAAGTTTTGTACGGTTTTTAAAAAGGTAAAAATTAAAAGACCAGATGCTTTTCCAGATATCACAATTCGTGATCACTTAATTTGAACCCTGCATAGTGATAGAACTTTTTAAATAAAATCTTCTAACTGTATCAAAGGTTTTTTAGCTGTGAAACTATTGTTCTTAGTAGTAAAGTATTTGGAAAAACTTTTTTTGCTTCATCAAATAATTGTTACAAGTAACTTTTGAGAGGTTTTGTAACTTTTTTTCAAGTTTCAGTTTGTCATTTAGATTTTTTGTTTTGAAAAATGGCTTGAATATTTTATTTTGTTTTTATTGAGGTTGAAATTGCTGAAGTAGTCCATAGATTAAGAAGTAATCCATAGATTAAGGCTCGGAGTTAAGTCAGGATTTTTTTTTGTAGATAACATAGTTTGATATATAATATTAGCTAATATAATAATATTAAATAATATAATATTAGCTAGTTTGTAGATAACATTCTTTGTAGATTATTTTGTCTAGAATAGAGTTAAGCGAAGAAATCTATTTGTTATATTTATTTATTTTTTTGTTTGCTTGTTTACCATTAGAAACTTTGATCACTTTATCACAGTTTATTTTTAATTATTCCTGAATTTTGTACTATTTATTTTTTCTGAAATTTAGAAAAAAAACAATACTTTTACAAGCATTAATTTTCTTTTTTTAAAAGATCAGTAAATTAGAAACTGGGTCAAATGGTATGATATTTTAATAGTTATATTGCAACAGAAAATCTATTTAGGAGCACTTGAGTGGTTTGTAATTCTTTTTGGTAAAGTATAAAAGAAAGAAAGTTATTTGAAGCAATAGTATTTAAACACTTTGAGATTAAATTATCCAAATTTGCTTTTATGAAACCTATATAAAAAATCACCCCTCATGATAATAGTTTTAAAATAGAATATTTAAATATGAAGCTTTAAATTCTTTAAATCCATGTAAGAATAGCAATAAACAATATATTATAATATTTCTTTCTAGGTTTAAAGAGTAGTTTATCAGAAGCACAAAGTAGATCCAAATAAAGTTTTTTTTGAACTAATTTTAATTTATACATATTTTAGATATGATCTTCCATTTGATCGTCATGATTGGATAGTAGATCGTAATGGAAAACAAGTTCGATACATTATTGATTATTATGATATAGGAGATGAAAATGGGTACAAAACTGGTGACTTTGTGGAACTAGATGTTCGTCCTGCATTCGACTCTTTTAGTGCTGTTGTTGATCGTTCTAGGGCTGCAAGTCTAAGGTGGGCAGCAGAGGCTATGGCCTGGTGGAATCAAAGACACAAATCTCCTGAAGTAAAATAAATTTTCTAACCTCTTAATTTAAAACGTTAGTAAAAATGGTGGTCCTTACATTTGTATCAATATTCTGAAATGTACATTACATTAAAAAATTCTGTTACATTTTTTTTGCTTAACTCAGAATTTTTTTAAAATGTTGTCAGTAATATTGTGCATAGTTATTATTTCATGTTCATGTTGATATGAATTTATACTATTGAGATAAATTATTTTTTACGAGAACTATAAAATACAAACATCTAATTATAGTTGATTTGTTTATTTGATGACTACACACTTTTTCAATACACTTGATAAAAAACAAAATACTAAAATATTAAAAAAAAAGTAGTATGACCAAACTCAAATAATTTTTTCTTCAAAAAATTTGGAAACATATAAAATATAAGCAAAATCGAAAATATTTTTTTAATGAGGAAAACTTGTTTTAATTTTATATATTTTGTTTAAATTGTTTTGGGATGTTTAGAACAAAAAGTACATATAACTACAAAAGGATGAAAATTACAAATAATTGATAATAAACAATTTGAATAGTGTTTTAAGATTTTATTATATCATTTAGAAATTAAATTACATCATTTGTTATTAAGCATGAAACGAGTTCACGTAGAAAAAGATTGTAAGTTTAAATATGGCAATTATAACAGGTATTATGGTTATCGAAATGAAAACACTGATGTTGATAAAAGAATTTCTTTACTCCAAAAAGATTGGTTTGAAGGCAAATCATGCTTGGATATTGGTTGTAATGTAGGACATATTACTTTATATATTGCAAAGTTTTTTGAGCCAAAACAAATTAAAGGTGTTGATATTGATTTTAACTTAATTAAAGCTGCTCGTGCAAACATACTTCATTATATTGACAACAAAAACTCTGAAAGTCGGAAGGTTAAAAAAAGTAATGAACCAAATGAATCTAATCAAAAAAACAGTAAAATTAATCAAATAGAAAATGAATCTTTAATAATTAATGGTGAACAACTAAATTGTTGCTGCTTTGAAAAAAAAGATGAACAATTATTACAATTACATGAAGATGTTACAAAGTGCAAGCATGATAAAAATAGTTCATCCAACTGCATTCACAATGGCAATGGAAATGTGCAAGCAGAACACCTAAAAAGAGAAAAGAAGTTTCCATACAATGTCACTTTCATTACTGTAGGTATTAATATATATATATATATATATATATATATATATATATATATATATATATATATATATATATATATATATATATATATATATATATATATATATATTATTATTATTATTATTATATTAATGGTTTTAAGTTAAAAAAAATATTCTCTTTAATGTATTAATGAGAAATAGCAAAAGAAACAATAAAATAATACAAAATATTTTTAAAAAAATGTTTATTTATTTGTTTATAACCAAGCATACTTATACATATATACATATACATATATACATATATATATATACATATATATATATATATATATATATATATATATATATATATATATATATATATATATATATATATATATATATATATATATATATATATATATATATATATATATATATATATATATATATATATAATTATACATATGTGTATATATATGTATATATATATATATATATATTTCAATTATACATATGTGTATATATATATATATATATATATATATATATATATATATATATATATATATATATATATATATATATATATATATATATATATGTATATGTATAAATAAAAGTTCTAGACATTTATGACTTTATGCATATAATATAATTTGTTAAATTTTTAAAAATAAAAATCATTACATTACCTTTAATTTTTTTAAAGCTCTTTTTACCTTAAAAAGTATTAGTATAAATGCATTGAAATATAATAATGTTTAAAGTTATCTATAATATTTAATCAGTTACATATAAACAATTTAGCACTCTATCTCTTGATTTTAAGTACTGCCTAACAGGGCGTGACAAATCATTTTTTATTTAATATAGGTTGACGTTCGTTTCTTTATTTATTGCCGAACGTCTTTAGAAGGTCAAATAACAGGGCTGACAATGTGGTAGAGAGGTGCACCCCCTCCTCCCTAGATTTTTTCTAAAGGCCCTTTTTTTTTTTAAAGAGGAATTCTGGTTGTGTACCTCCACTTCGAAACCTGTGTCGTTGGTCATGAATATGCCTGTTTTATTTTCCATTATTTTAATTTATTATTATTTTTTATTCAAATAATTTTTTATTAAGTTATAAGGGAGTTTTATTTTTGAAACAACTTTTGTTCTAGTTAATAAGATATATAATTATTAGATATATAGAAGATGCTTATTAAATTTTTTCAATTTTTTAATAATTTAAAACAATTTTTCAAGCATTTGCAAAGCGCGTGCAAGTTAATGACAACACAGGCCAACAAAAAAAATTTTTTTTTCTGGTACCGAGCAAACAATTAGTATTTTTTATAACATTTCTCATTTTGATTTCAAATATGCAACTCATTTTTCACCATCACTTCAGTTGTAAAGATATTTGGGTTCAAATCTTAAGTATTGAAAAAAAAAAGTCTCTAATTTTGTTGAAAAAATAGTTATTCAAAAGTATGTCAACTTGGGTCTCAAAAGAACATATTTTCATATAGATTTTATAAAACATAAATATTTTATCTTAAAACTCATTGATAAAAAAATTATGTGAAAAAATGCTAAAGACTCTAAAAAAAAATTTTAAGAGAAAATATGCTTCATTTGAGACCCAGGTTGACATACTTTTGAATAACTTTTTTTTCAACAATATTTAGGACTTTACCCCAAGTATTAGAAATTTGAACTCAAATATCTTTACCACTTGACGTGGTGGTGAAAACTGAGTTGCGTATTTGAAATCAAAATGAGAAAAAACTATTTTTTTTTTTTTTTTTTATTTGCATTCACTCCCAACAAGGCTGCAAGCAACCACTATTAAGTTGGGAGTTACTAGGAAAAAAAAGAACAGAGTTATAGAGCAAGGAAACGGTTGACAAAAGACTTGAAAAGTTGAAGGTTGTAGGAGTCAGGAAAACATGAATATGGGAGAGAGTTCCAAAGGATTGAAGTTCGGGGAAAAAAACTAGATGAATAAAAGTTTTTAGAGCATGCTGGGACAGATACAGTAATTGAATGAGACTTAGCTGAATGACGAGTAAAACGAGAATGAATTTTAGTTGATGGAACTAGAGATGATAACTCCTTTGAGCAGTGACCATGATAGTATCTGTAGAAAAGAGAAAGAGATGCAACTTTACGACGATGGGAAAGAGGTTCAAGCTTAGCAGATAGTCCAGGTCCAACAACATTTACAATGCGTTTTTGGACCTTCTCAAGAAGAGAAAGTGAATTGTTAGAAGAACCAGCCCAAATATGACAACAGTATTCCATACAGGGACGAATAAGAGATTTGTAGAGGTAGAGAATGGAATCAGAAGTAAGGAAATGGCGAGCATGATAAAGAGAAGCAACCTTAGCAGAAGCTAATTTAGCAATCGATTGTATATATGGTTTCCATGAATGGTCAGTAGTAAGCGATAATCCGAGAAGATGTAAAGAGGACGACTCAGTAAGAGGATTGCCATTCATTAATATAGGATTGTTGACCATATTACGGTAGTTGTTTGCAGTAAGCAATTGGGTTTTTTTAAAGTTGAAATTCACAAGCCACTGTGAACCCCAATCTATTACTGAAGTGAGATCAGATTCAAGATCAGCTACTTGTTCTAGGCGATCGAAAAGAGAAGACTTTTTGTCAAGACAGGAGTATAAAGTTGAGTCATCAGCAAAAAGAGCTACTTTAGATGAAAGGTTGTCAGGAAGATCGTTTATGTAGATAAGAAACAAAACAGGGCCCAGGATGGAACCTTGGGGAACCCCAGAAGTTACTGGAAATAAAGAAGAGTGTTGGCCTTCAAGGATGACTTTAATAAACCGGTCAGAAAGAAATGATTTGATAATCTCAAAAACTTTCCCAGAAACACCATATGAAGCAAGCTTATGGAGAAGACCAGCATGCCAAACTTTGTCGAAAGCTTTAGATATGTCGAGAGCAATAGCCCTAGCCTCACCGCCTCCATCTAATGCACAATAAAATCTTTCAGTTACAGCAGTTAGCAAGTCGGCCATAGAGCGAGAGGATCGAAAACCGTATTGATTGTCTGACAGCAGTTTATTTGACTCAAGATGAGATGTGAGGAATTTGTTGATCAAAGACTCAAAGACCTTGCTAATAACAGAAAGAAGACTGATCGGACGATAATTAGAGGGGTCAGAATTTTCTCCAGAGTTTTTGAATATTGGAACCACAGATGCCATTTTCCAACAAGCAGGAAAACAAGACTCAGTCAAACACTTGTTAAATAGTTTAGAGAGAATTGAAGAAAGTTCTGGAGAACAAAACTGCAAGACTGTGACAGGAATGTTGTCTGGACCACAAGCTGTAGACGAGTTTAATTGAGATATGACTTTAGCAACAGAAGCCGGAGTGATTTGAATGTCTAACAATGGGTCAACCTGTTTGACTGGAATGGAAGGAAGAGAATGTCCATAAGATTCAAGAGGAGAATTAGAATAAAAGTTCTTTGCAAACAGTTCTGCCTTATCCCTGGGAGAGGTAACAAGATCAGTCCCATGAATGAGAGATGGAATGTTAGATCTACCCTTGTTAACAATGCTGTTGAAGATTTTCCAAAAGTCTTTAGAGCCTAACTTCTGCGATAAGATGCGAGATTTAGTGAACTGAGAATAATGGAGTTTAGCATCAGAAAGCACCTTTTTACATCGATTTCTTGCAATAATAAATAGCCGTTTGTTCTCAAGAGAGTTGTTCTTTTGAAAAAGATGAAAAAAATGGTTACGATTGGATATAGCAGCCGCACAAGAAGGAGAAAACCATGGAGTAGAGTGAGGCTTGACTTGAAACCGACAAGAAGGAATAAAAGCTTCCATTCCAGCCTGAATCCAGGAGGTTACTTAGGAGGCGCATTTGTCAGCTGAGAGAGAAAAAACATCAGTCCAAGGACCATCACGAAGAAAATCACGAAAGGAATCCCAGTCAGCTTTAGGGTAGTAGTAGGTGGTGCGATGATAAGGTGAGCCCAAAAAAGAAGTACGAGAATAAAGATTTACAGAGATCATTGCGTGGTCAGAACCACCTAAGGGAGAAAAGGGAGAAACTGAACATAAGCTAGGGTCAGAGACAAGACATAAGTCAAGGAGTGAAGGTAAATGATTAGGGTTGTCAGGAAAACGAGTCACAAAGTTAACTATCTGAGTAAGAGATTGAGAAACGCAGAAGTTAAAGGCTTTAGTGCCAGCAGGATCAGTGGTGTTAGAGCCAAGCCATTCAGTGTGATGGGCATTAAAATCACCAACAACAACAATATTGGCAGAGGGGTAAAGAGAGAGGGCATGGTCAATTTGATCAGAGATAACATCTAAAAGAGTGCAATCATGGGAAGAAGGAGAACGATAAAGAACAAAGAGAAAGGTGATAGAGTGAAGAGGTGCTAGGCGAAAGCACATAAAAGAATGGTCTAAGGATTTGAACCTGATTTCACGACAAATAGGGGAATTAATGCGTATGTAAACCCCTAAACCTAGCATGTGACTATTGGAGTCTTTACGAATCAAAGGATAGTACCCATCAACACTGACATCTGAAGAAATTCTGAAGAACTTGACTCATTCATAGATAGAGCACAGCCTCCTAATCAATGAGCTATGCAGTTGTCTCAGTCCTGTTAATTAACCCTAAGCTGTGACATAGGGCTCCTTATGTGGTCTTGACAATGCACACCAAAAGCATTAACAGGGACACCATCCATGGGCAACATGGCACTGTTAATACTCTGATATTTTGCAGCTGTTGATGGAATTAGCCTCTCTGAGAGCTACCACAGAGTTCGGGAAACCTTACTACCAGCCGGCCTCAGAACCATTAAACTGAGTTTTAGAGCTGTACCCTCATATGGAGATAACAGGAAGAGTTGCATAGCCATTATCAAGGAGGCATAAGCAAAATTCTATGAGTAGAGTCAAGGAGATCCAGCATTCATCATCCTAAGCAGGAAACAATGTAACACAGGTTACATCTATGCCAGCCTAATAGATAAAGAAGGGGTTCGAGGCTGGTTAGCAGAATTTTTCTGCTTACCCCTAAAGTCTTTGCCTAGGAGGCCTTCTACAAGACAGTAGCAGGATGCAGTTAACATCTGCCCAAGATGAGTATTTTTATCGAGACACCATCTCTAGCCTTTACTCAACCAAGAGCCCTAAGGCAGGGGATGTTTAGCTGGATGCAGTTAACATCTGCCCAAGATGAGTGTTTTTATCGAGACACCATCTCTAGCCTTTACTCAACCAAGAGCCCCAAGGCAGGGGAATTTTTAGTCGGAGTTTATTTCTCCTAGCCTTTGCATAAGAAGAGCACACTCTGCAAGGCAGCAGGGCTTGTGGCAGGTGGTACTGGGTTACGTGATACCAGTAGCAAGATTGATCTCGATTATCCTGACCTGACCTGGAGTAGTTAAATGGAGTTACTTCCCGCAACAGTACTTTGAGAAAACTAGGCATGACATTTCGGAAGTGCATTAGGAAAAACACTGCATCTAACAAAATACAGGAGTCTAAGATGAGTGTACGTTTTGTAGTTGGAGTAAGTAGTTAGTTACTGAGCTCACGCTGCATTAGAGTATAAACAGAACACAAACAAACATAGACATAAATCAACTTACGGGTGAGTCAACACCGCGCCAGAGGTTCAGACAGAACACAAACATACATAAAAAACATAAAGTAACTTACGGGTGAGCAAACACCGCGCCAGAGGTTCAGACAGAACACAAACATACATAAAAAAACATAAAAAACATAAACATAAAGTAACTTACGGGTGAGCGAACACCGCACCAGAGGTTCAGACAGAACACAGACATACATAAAGAACATAAAGTAACTTACGGGTGAGCGAACACCGCGCCAGAGGTTCAGACAGAACACAAACATACATATAACGTAGATTACAGGTGAGCTAATACAGTAACTAAGGCACCTCCAACCATATTTGGAAAAAAAAAAAAAAAAAAAAAAAAAAAAAATTACTATAGGCATGACTGATATAAAATAGTACTGATGACAGGAAGAACACTCCTTCCAGCCTTCGCTTAGATAGCAAATCCTGCAAGGCAGCAGAACATGGAACAGGTTGCACTGGGTTACATGTTACCAGTAGCAGGATGATCATGAAGACCATACTCCTGACCTGACAACAATTGTTTGCTCGGTACCAGAAAAATTTTTTGACTTTCTTTTTTTAAGACATTTAAAAATAATAATATAATAATAAGTATTTAAAAAGTTATTATATTAAGTTATTATTAAATATTATATTATTATATTTATAATAGTATCAAGTATTTAATATTAAAATATCATATTATTGGTGTTCTTAAACGTACAGTAAAAAATGAAAATTACAATAAACATAATAGTTCTATACCGTGGCGTAGGAAAGCTTTTAAAGGTTTGAATTTACCAACTTTTAAACAAAAAGAGCATTCCAAATTTTTTTACGTTCATATGTATGATGAAAAGGTTCTTCACAAAAAAAAAATTACTGTGATAGGAGAATGTGAACAAGAAACACCAAAAATCTTCGCCTCCCTGCCCCAAACGTGAGAGTAACAAGTTGATGAAATAATTTTTGTACTATTATCAACTACACTTATATTCATTGATAAAATTTAAATTTCATAGTAAAATAATTTAGCATTCAAAAAGTATGACCATTTAAATTTTAAGCCCCTCTCAGTTTGAGGGGGTTGTTTATCTGTAAGTTG